GGGAGGCTGAGGCAGTAGGATTTGCTTGAGCCCAGGAGTTTGAGGTTGCTGTGAGCTAGCCTGACGCCACAGCACTCACTCTAGCCAGGGCAACATTAAGTGAGACTCTGTCTCAAAAAAAAAAAAAAAAAAAAAAAAAAAAAAGATGAAGTAAAAAAATTGGAATGTATCATATATAGTAAAGGCGAGTACTGTTTTGTAAACTTTTTACTTTTGTAATTATGTGTACATGTATACTGAGTGGGACTTGGTCAAAAATACTTCAAAAAAACTGCCTTCCAGAATGGCCAGTTTTTCATACCCACCAATGTTACTATATGAGTAACCTATTTCTCCACATTCACACTAAAAGAGAATTGTCATTCTTTTTAATCTTTGTTGATCTGCAAGGAAAAAAAGGTACCATGATGCTATTTTAATCTGTACTTTCTTATTCTTAGGAATTGATATTACTGTATTTCTCTTTTGTGAATGTTATTTATGTAGTCTAAGAAAATTCTTTCTAATTCTAATATGTTGAACTGAGTTTTGCTTGTTATAAATATATTCTAATTTTGGAATCATCAATATTTATTATATCACTTAAAATATGCAAAGTATTCATTTCAGAGAAAGCTGCTAAGATAAGTGGTCTCAATCTTCTTTAAAAATTTATATTCACTTTATTTATAATCCTTATATGGCAGAGCAACATAATGCAAAGAGTACAAGAACATTTAGGTTTCAGGCCCAGATCTAATAATGGTCAACTACCTGTATGAACTAAGCAAATAAATTATTGTTTTTGTACCTACTTTTACTTTTTATGGACACATCCTAAAATAAGTATTTTTATGGCTCCCAATTCACAAATGAGGAAACTGAGGCTCAGAGAAATTAAGCTAATTAGTTAAGTGGCATACCTGGAGCACAAACAGGTTTGTCTAACTCCACAGTCAATAATTTTAATTGCTAGGCTGTAAGTTACAAGAAATTTTTTTTCCAAGAATCTCTGCTGTCAATAAACAATAATTTTTCAGACATGTAATTAATTAAAACAAAGAACACCTATGTAATTCAGTAACTCTACCAGTGGAAAGCGAATTAATGAAATTATAATCAGTCAAATGGCTTCCCCTGCTGGCTAGCTCATGGAACTACAACTTAAGGAACAATGATCCCTTTATGAAAACTGACAATATACATTAGTAATAAATTTTCTATTCTCAATAGATCATGTTTTTAGAGAGCAATGAGGAAACAAACTAAAAACCATTTGTATTTGAAACCCTTTTCGAGGACCTCTTGGGGGCATATATTTGGAAAGTAAATCACTGAGAGTAGAAGAGATACAACTTGAGAATATGCAACATGTAAAATTATTGTTACAGAAATATTAGGTTCAGACCATCATAGTTCTGTTGAACAGGCTCTATTCTAAAGATGATAGGAAAGAGTAGCAAATTATACCTTAGCAGCTACCTGTGACAAAGATCCTGACAGTTAACTAGAAAGTATTTGGAGTCTTAGTTCTAAAGTTTTTTCTCAACTTCTTTATAGCACAGGTAGTCCCCATATCGTAAAGCTTCAAGTACACTTTTACTGTATTTCTTTTCTTCTTCTTTTCTGTGAGTGTTTGTGTTTTTCTTGCATCTTTCCTCCTCATACATAGGCTTTGTTTTTCCTTAATAAATAGCTGAAAATAAACTATACATAATTTTTAAATTCTTGAGAAAATCATACATTCTCATGATTCAGAAAGTATAAAAAGCAACAACAATAAAAATACATTCCTTTTCTTCTCACCTCTATAGGTAACCACTGTTACTTGTGAAAACAGAAATCACGAGCAGGCAGCAATGCATTAACTGTGTATGTGCTGTATGGGCTACGAGAGCCTCTTCCATCCCTGTTAAGAGGGCTGTCCTGATCTTTCCTATGATACTATTGCTCTTTTAGTTTGATGGGACCTAATAAAGACTGCCACTCTGCATCTGACCATCTTGGTTCATTTGATAAGTTGTACCACTGTCTAACAACAGAAAAAGCACACGCAAATGGGAAATTAGCTCTTACAGCTATGTACTTTAGGACCATCCAGTCAATGACTCTAAAAGCATTAATTAACTAATTAATTATTTTAAAAAGAGATGGAGTCTCCAGCCTAGGCTGGAGTGCAGTGGCACAATCCTAGCCTGCAGCCTCAAACTCTTGGACTCAAGTGATCCTCCCGCCTCTCAGGCTCCCAAGTTGCACTAAAAAGTATAATGAAAGGAATACTTTTAATTACTTTTTTTTTTGAGACAAGTTCTCACTCTACATTGCCCAGGCTACAGTGCAGTGGCATCATCACAGCTCATTGCAACCTCAAACTGCTGGGCTCAAGCAATCATCCTGCCTCAGCCTCCCAAGAAGCTGGGAGTACAGGCTTGCACCACTATGCCTGGCTAAATTTTTAAAATTTTTTTGTAGAGATGGGGTCTTGCTATTGCCCAGGCTGGTCTTGAACTCCTGGCTTCAAGTGATCCTCCTGCTTCAGCCTCCCAAAGTGCTAAGATTACAGGTGTGAGCCACCACACCGTGCCACTTACAACTACTTTAAAGATGGTAATACTTTGAAATCAGGGGGGAAAAGCTATTATATAATGAACCCTCACAAGTAGAATCTGAATTATAAAAATGTTGCTTTCCATTTTCCTATCATCCACCTTCCAAAAAAGAAAACCATCTGCCAATCTGCCAAATAACGGACTTATTTTAGAAAAAATTATTGCCATGATGCTTAAAGCAGTAAAGGAAAGAAACTACCTTGTTCTTCAGGTGAGAGGTCACTATCTTCCTCTCCACTGCTTTCTTGTTCCCGAACCCGATACTTTAGCTCCGAGCCTTCAGCAGCAGCTAATCTATACAACAACCATTTACAAAGAAATTAACACTTCGATATTCTTTTATTATTTAAGAGTCTTATTCAACTTTTGAGTCTCATAAAAACATCTAAAGATCATTAATATGCTAGCCATAACCTGATGAGGAAAATAAAAAGCTAGAGAATAGAAATGGATATTGAAACCAATAAGCAACAAGAACAGTGGAATGGGTGCTAAAATCAAGAACAGCAAAGGAA